GTTTATCAAAGTCGTTATCAGCTGCTGCTCCCGCTGCTGGAGAAGGGGTTTAGCGCAGTTGATGATGATTCCGGGCGTGGGGAAGAAGCCGAAGAGGAATAGGATTGCTGTGCTGAATGGTGGATCTATTGGGTACCGAGAGACAACTTCTGTGACGGATACGGCGCCAGCGGATTTGCCCTAGGATATCTTGTGAGATACGGGTTTGAAGACTCAATGCCGGACAATGGTATGTTGTATTCCATCTTGTGGGTAATTTCATTATTAATTTTCTCGTTTAGCGTATTCGTTTCTGCGTCCGGCTACTGCGTTTGCTGTCTCCATCAAGACTCATCGACACCATTTATTTTTCAGCTTAACGCCTTAACGATTTACGTTACCAACTCTCGGAAAGCCACCACTCAGGCTCAAGATTCGCTGAAGAACTTTGGTGTGGACGATGTAGTAGTGTCTTTATGCTAGGAACCAATCTGTTCTCAAGTACGTGTCATTCATATGTCGGCAACCGATACCAATTAATTGGGTCTCCTGTTTTACAGCTACACTTTGAATGCCTCTGTATTGTCACCTAACGACGACAACTCCGCTGTATCTTTGTCGCCTGCAAGGACCGCAGACATATGTAACCGCCCAGGACACGTCTGTATCACACCTTCTCGTCTCTGGCCTTTGTTTTCAAATCCACGCTACAGCCGAAGCGCTGAAGCTCTTCCCTCACCACGTGTCACTGTTCGAATTGGAACTACCCAAATTTCCACTTCGGTATCGGAAACACTGCAAGACCGATGTTCAGTGTCTACGACGCACGGCAATCGTTATTTCCACCTCAGCCCTGCTGATACTCGCCGAGGAATGGGGAAGTTTCAACTTCCCGAAACTCGGCCTTCATTGACCATCGCTGGGTTAATCACTGACTCTTCTCTGTTTCAACTGCACCTTGCACCTCTGAGCATGTCTCACATAGTAGGCAGCGACCCAAACAATAGAAACAACGCCTTTGATTAGGGCGTACACGTGATGCATTTGGGCCAAGATAACATTTTTGAACCCTCCCTTTTCTTTCCTGTCACTGATGAGAATCAGCATGAACAAAAACCTCAATTGGCTTCCAGCGCGGTGACATCTCTCTGGAAGTATTGCACTTGTGTGATCAAGTACGATACTTCCAGAGAGATGTCGCAGCGCTTCATGAATACATGACGGTTGACTTCAAGGATATTCTGCGGACAGATGCCAACATCAAAAACTACATTCTCCTTGACAGATGGGGCTCTAGCTGCATACGGAAGCGGCGAATATATGCCCGCCCACCCCGCATACCTCCTAGGGCCCATCTTATCTATGCCCAATATGATAGTGTTTTGGGAAGAATCAGAAGTCTAAGTTTTTGACGCGTGCTTGGGGATATTTGAACGACGAGGTGGAAATTTGAAGATGATGGGGCTTAGGTACATAGTGTCGCTAGGTGCCGAGTAGCAGTCCGGGAAATATGCGGAACTCAACGAGCTTTGGTGTATTGGGTGCGCTTGATGAAAGAAAAGAGAAAGTTACGACCAGTGCACAAGGATTCTTTGCGGCACGTAGAATTGTCCGAGAGCCATGTGCGAGTGTACGAGCAAGTGCAAGCCATCTCGATCCCCACTGTACACTTGCACACGGCTCTTGGATAATTCTACATGCCGTCACAAAGCTCCTTGCTCCGCACTACTTGTCTTTATCAGTTATAAGTAGTCCATATTCCCAATCTGCGTTTGTACGTGGCCATCCATTAGACTGACGTCTCCGTTAATCCAGTCTGCTACTCCCCCATCTCCCACGTCTAGGACGAAGGAAGGCAATGGAAGTAACCAATTCGTATACTTAGCACGTTCGGAATGCCAAGAGTGAGCGGTGAGAGGGCAAGTCGAACTTGAAAACGGGTTCCTTTTTGAGCTGAGCTTCGGGAGTTGAAGACTTGAAGTGGATGAAGGTGCGAAGCGGAGAATCATCGATGGGTGTAGTATTATGGATTAAGTGTGCAAAAGCTAGATTTGTTATTTGTAGATTGCGTGTACTTATTATTTATTTATCTAGGAATTTTTCTCTTGTTAATCAGTTCGGTATACTGGACGCTTACATAGCCGAGACGCTTGGAAGCCAACCGCTGAGAATTATACGAGACGGGGAGCGCTTTCTCGTGTTCCTCCACTTCCTTCGAGATGATGCGTTCAACGTGTGACCTCAATAAGCAATAAGGAAAGAGGATACTTATATCGATCGGATATACTCCTTCCTCATCCTCAGACACTCAGGTTCAATAACTGCTTTCAAGCTGCCACAAATGTTCAAGCGCGGGCGTCATAGTTCATCATTCTGAGTCTTACTGATAGAAAGATGCTCGTTGTTAATGGTGACTTGGCTGGAACCGCTGGATAATACGCTACCAGTACGGGAACGTACAGCCACATGCCTTTCGGAGTGCAGTCCCGCTTTGTACAATCCTAGCGCTCCTGTTGGGAGTCGCCGGTGGTCGAGGTCGAATGCTGGCTGTAGCCTTTTTAACTTCCAACACTGCCCATCTCTACCATTCTTTCGAAGATGTGAGGGATGGGTTTGTAGTATAAACGAGTTTAATTTTAACTCTCCAAAGGGAGCTTTGACATTGATCCATAGATCCTTCAGGGAGTCGGGAATTGCCAGAGCAGCGCCGAGGATAATAGTAACAGACCCACATGTACATATGCATCTAAATAGTACATACGCATTAAATGTGATTCAATCGTATGCATATAAAGGGGTGACCCACTGGTCTGATTTGAGAGCCCTAGTATACGGCGAATGCAATGCATTTGAGTATCCTCAGCACACCAACGGAGGTATCAACATCAGGCATGGTCTCGCGCCGCAACCAGAGAAGTGCTTGAAAGTGTTTTCGGGATATTAGCTACATTTTAAAAATGTGCTACTTATGATAGAGAAAAAAAAGCAAGCTCGGATACAACTTTGGTAGTAAGCTACATAGTATTAATAGTACATTACAATTCACATAGCCTCGAGTGGAAGGTCAGTTCGAGCCCTGACAGCAATAAATCGATTCGCGCGTCTTATGGACAGAATTGGTAAAGTGGATCTGGATCGAAGGAAGTTGAGGTACTTACTGGACTAGTGCACGAGACAGATCAAGATTGACAGCTTCCATAGGCTGATACACTGCCATGCGCATTGGATGCGCGTTAAGCCATTGGGGGTTGTACCAGTTAATTGGAAGCCCCCGAGGCGCCGCGTCTTCGTTGAAGAGGCTTTCTGGTCTGAGAGATTGGAAGCGTGCGCGCGGGAAAGCTCCCCTATTGTATCGACCATTACCTAGATACCGAGTTGCGAGGTTCAGGCCACTAAGAGATGCGAGGAAGTTGGACAGTTCCTTTGACCTCCATGCTACCGTAGTAATGAAAAATCTCCGGTCCAGGTCAGACTCATCTTAGGGTTAGGGGTGGTCCTGACAAAAACGACGAGTGAGCGAAGCGAACGAGGCGTTTTTGGAAGGGCCAAGTTCGTTAGTTTGTTGGGTAAGAGCGAAAACAGCCAACAGGGTGTAAGATACTTTCTTACACCAGATCCTGTTTCGCTTTTATAGCTCATCAGGGCTGTTTCACATCGTCACAGACTTACACTGCTCGTCGATAGTACTTCTGGTACTTGACGAACTTTGCCTGTATCTTGGAACACATGTTCGAGCGTTAGGGTTATTAGAGGCATGTAGGATCCATCTAGGGTTTTCTCAACCCTAGGGGAGGGCCTAGCGGTGGCTTAGGAGTGGCCTAGGGTCTGCACGGCCCCTGGACATTCTGGCTTTGGAGGAGCGTAGGGTTTGGACTTGGTGCGCTGGGGGAGGGACTGTAGTGTGGGCAGGGTGCTGATATTAGAGGTTTATGGGGCTTGGGCTGTATGCTGTATAACATAGAGTATATATTTTCACACATCCACCCACCTCCAGGAGATGTGCGGTGTACTCTGTGGACTCTATGACTTGCCCACATCAGGAGACGTCTACGACGTGCACTGTGTACTTGCACAAATTCAGTAAGTCATAGAGTACACAGTGTATATACCTCCAGGCACGTCCACGACGTGTACGGTGTGCCACCTTACCATGATGTGCACTCTGTACTTGATCAATTTTGTGTACTCTATGACTCCCACACATCCAGGCACGTCCACGACGTGCGTGGTGTACATTATCACGCCTGGTACGTCCACGTCCATGGATTCGTCCGGGTGGTGGAGTGCGCGGTGCGCATCAGGGCTGGCGTTGGTAGCATACACCGCACACGTCGTGGACGTGCACGAATGTGTAAAACACAATGAAGAACCAAAAAATCACTGGCCAGAGAGGGAATCGAACCCCCGCCTACTTCATATGCGTAAAACTGGAACTTATTAGCATACACAAGCCATACCCTATGACTTGCACAAATCATAGAGTACACAGTGCATACACCTCCAGGCACGTCCACGACGTGCGTGGTGTACCCTATCAATGCTAGTATACCACCTTACCTTGATGTGCACTGTGTACTCTATGACTTCCACATATCCAGGCACGTCTATGACGTGCACTGTGTACTTTATCAATACACAGTGCATACACCTCCAGGCACGTCCATGACGTGTACGGTGTGCCACCTTACCATGATGTGCACTCTGTACTTGATCAATTTTGTGTACTCTATGACTCCCACACATCCAGGCACGTCCATGACGTGCATGGTGTACACTATGACCCCCCGATACATCCACATCCATGAATTTGTCCAAGTGGTAAAGTACACAGTGCACGTCATAGACGTGCTTGGATGTGTGGAAGTCATAGAGTACACAAAAGTTATCAAGTATACAGTGCACATCAAGGTAAGGCGGTACACTGGCATTGATACGGTACACCGTGCACGTTGTGGACGTGCCTGGAGGTGTATGCACTGTGTACTCTATGACTTGCACAATTTAACGTGGGATGTAGTCATGGCCAGATAGTCTAGTGGTAAATGACGACTTGGTAGAATAACCTGTGAGCTCCAGTACACTTCTATCAAGTAGGCGGGGGTTCGATTCCCTCTCTGGCCAATGATTTTTTTTGGTTCTTCATTGTGTTTTACACGTTTGTGCACGTCCACGACGTATGCGGTGTACGCTATCAATGCCAGCCTTGATGTGCACTGTGTACTTTATCAATACACAGTGCATACACCTCCAGGCACGTCCACGACGTGCAGGTGTGTACCACCTTACCTTGATGTGCACTGTGCACTTGATCACTTGGACAAATTCATGGATGTGGATGTATCGGGGGTCATAGTGTACACCATGCACGTCATAGACGTGCTTGGATGTGTGGAAGTCATAGAGTACACAAAAGTTATCAAGTATACAGTGCACATCAAGGTAAGGCGGTACACTGGCATTGATAGGATACACCGTGCACGTCGTGGACGTGCCTGGAGGTGTATGCACTGTGTAATCTATGACTTGCACAATTTAACGTGGGATGTAGTCATGGCCAGATAGTCTAGTGGTAAATGACGACTTGGTAGAATAGCCTGTGAGCTCCAGTACACTTCTATCAAGTAGGCGGGGGTTCGATTCCCTCTCTGGCCAATGATTTTTTTTTGGTTCTCCATTGTGTTTTACACGTTTGTGCACGTCCACGACGTGTGCGGTGTACCCTATCAATGCCAGTGTACAAACTTACCTTGATGTGCACTGTGTACTGTATGACTTGCACAAATTCATGTAATCCATGAATCTGTGCAAATCATAGAGTACACAGTGTATACACCTCCAGACACGTCCATGACGTGCACGGTGTACCACCTTACCTTGATGTGCACTGTGTACTTGATCACTTTCGTATACTCTATGACTTCCACACATCTATGCACGTCCATGACGTGCATGGTGTACACTATGACCCCCGATACATCCACATCCATGAATTTGTCCAAGTGATCAAGTGCACAGTGCACATCAAGGTAAGGTGGTACACACCCGCACGTCGTGGACGTGCCTGGAGGTGTAATGCACTGTGTACTCTATGATTTGTGCAAGTCATACAGTACACAAAAGCGATAAAGTACACAGTGCACATCAAGGTAAGTTTGTACACTGGCATTCATACAACAAACCTGTCAGCAATGGTAATTTGTCTTTCCCACTGCCACTCCATCTGCTCATTAAACCTTCTCTTGTACTCAGGGCATCCATGCACGTCCACGACGTGCGCGGTGTACCCAATTGCTCTTTCACACATCCACGCTGAGTATCACCCACTTTCTCTGTAGTGTACACTGCGTACTCTATCAATTCTGCACCTCATGTGGGCAAGTGAACAAGTATGGATGTGTGAATTTGTGCAAGTGGTAAAGTACATAGTGCACGTCATGGACGTGCCCTGATGTCTGACAGACCTTACATCCACATAATGCGTGGACGTCCACAACGCGCACGGTGTACTCTATCACTTCCACCCATTTGAAACTTGAGTTTTTTTACACCTCCAGGCACATCCACGATGTGTGCGGTGTACACCATCACTCCCACTCATCTAAAATATCCATGCCAGTGTACCACCTTACTTGATGTGCTGCACAAGTCATATAGTACGCAGTGCACGTCGTAGACGTCCCTTGATGTGGGCAAGTCATAAAGTACACACAAAAGTGACCAAATATAAAGTGACGAGGTACACAGCTCACGTCGTGGATGTGCACAGATGTATGAAACACAATGAAGACCAAAAAAACCATTACATTGACAAGATTGGCCAGAGAGGGAATTGAACCCCCGCCTATTTGGTGTTCGATGATCTTCGTATTGTTTATAAGAAAACCACCGAATATTCTACCAAATCGTCCTTTGCCACTAGACTATCTGACCATGACTACTAGCAATGTTAAACAAAACCTTATGAGCATGAAATAATCTAATAATCAATCCCACCTGAGCCCACAACAAACTTGGCAGCAACGGTAAATTGTCTTTCCCACTGCCACTCAACCATTAAACCTTCTCTTGTGCTCAATCCATGCACGCCCATGACATGCGCCGTGTACCCCAAGTGCTCCCGCTCATCTTCTGTTGTCTTTCACAGATCCAGGCACGTCCACGACGTGGCCTGTGTTCTCTATTACTGGAACTGTATTTTTTTTCACACATCCTTGTACGTCTGTGACGTGTGCTGTGTATTCCGACCCCACAGAAAACCAATAGATGCTCGACATGATATGAGACAAGTAGGCCAATCCAATCATAATTCATGGCATTATGAGATCGTGAAGAGACCCAGTCCAATGGTCTGAGAGGAGAGTGATCGTGTGCACAGTGCACGTCGTAGACGTGTACAGATGCTCTGATGATAAATTCACTGACCATTAGAGTAAAGGTTCTCTCATGAATTCATGCATGTCCACGATGTCCAATGATCACTGGTCTCTTCACAATCTCATGATACAACTAATATAACTGATATAATTAAACTACCATCAATCACAATCAGATTGGCCCTACTCTGTGCCCTGGTGATATGGCCTATCGCGCCGAATGGGTACTTAACCCCCCGGCCTGTGAATGGTACCGAAAGGTGGTCAGAACCAGTGGATGTCTTGGGGTTATTAGAGGCATGTAGGATCCATCTAGGGTTTTCTCAACCCTAGGGGAGGGCCTAGCGGTGGCTTAGGAGTGGCCTAGGGTCTGCACCGCCCCTGGACATTCTGGCTTTGGAGGAGCGTAGGGTTTGGACTTGGTGCGCTGGGGAGGGACTGTAGTGTGGGCAGGGTGCTGATATTAGAGGTTTATGGGCTTGGGCTGTATGCTGTATAACATAGAGTATATATTTTCACACATCCACCCACCTCCAGGAGATGTGCGGTGTACTCTGTGGACTCTATGACTTGCCCACATCAGGAGACGTCTACGACGTGCACTGTGTACTTGCACAAATTCAGTAAGTCATAGAGTACACAGTGTATATACCTCCAGGCACGTCCACGACGTGTACGGTGTGCCACCTTACCATGATGTGCACTCTGTACTTGATCAATTTTGTGTACTCTATGACTCCCACACATCCAGGCACGTCCACGACGTGCGTGGTGTACATTATCACGCCTGGTACGTCCACGTCCATGGATTTGTCCGGGTGGTGGAGTGCGCGGTGCGCATCAGGGCTGGCGTTGGTAGCATACACCGCACACGTCGTGGACGTGCACGAATGTGTAAAACACAATGACGAACCAAAAAATCACTGGCCAGAGAGGGAATCGAACCCCCGCCTACTTCATATGCGTAAAAACTGGAACTTATTAGCATACACAAGCCATACTCTATGACTTGCACAAATCATAGAGTACACAGTGCATACACCTCCAGGCACGTCCACGACGTGCGTGGTGTACCCTATCAATGCTAGTATACCACCTTACCTTGATGTGCACTGTGTACTCTATGACTTCCACATATCCAGGCACGTCTATGACGTGCACTGTGTACTTTTTCAATACACAGTGCATACACCTCCAGGCACGTCCATGACGTGTACGGTGTGCCACCTTACCATGATGTGCACTCTGTACTTGATCAATTTTGTGTACTCTATGACTCCCACACATCCAGGCACGTCCATGACGTGCATGGTGTACACTATGACCCCCCGATACATCCACATCCATGAATTTGTCCAAGTGGTAAAGTACACAGTGCACGTCATAGACGTGCTTGGATGTGTGGAAGTCATAGAGTACACAAAAGTTATCAAGTATACAGTGCACATCAAGGTAAGGCGGTACACTGGCATTGATACGGTACACTGTGCACGTCGTGGACGTGCCTGGAGGTGTATGCACTGTGTACTCTATGACTTGCACAATTTAACGTGGGATGTAGTCATGGCCAGATAGTCTAGTGGTAAATGACGACTTGGTAGAATAGCCTGTGAGCTCCAGTACACTTCTATCAAGTAGGCGGGGGTTCGATTCCCTCTCTGGCCAATGATTTTTTTTGGTTCTCCATTGTGTTTTACACGTTTGTGCACGTCCACGACGTGTGCGGTGTACCCTATCAATGCCAGTGTACAAACTTACCTTGATGTGCACTGTGTACTGTATGACTTGCACAAATTCATGTAATCCATGAATCTGTGCAAATCATAGAGTACACAGTGTATACACCTCCAGACACGTCCATGACGTGCACGGTGTACCACCTTACCTTGATGTGCACTGTGTACTTGATCACTTTCGTATACTCTATGACTTCCACACATCTATGCACGTCCATGACGTGCATGGTGTACACTATGACCCCCGATACATCCACATCCATGAATTTTTCCAAGTGATCAAGTGCACAGTGCACATCAAGGTAAGGTGGTACACACCCGCACGTCGTGGACGTGCCTGGAGGTGTATGCACTGTGTACTCTATGATTTGTGCAAGTCATACAGTACACAAAAGCGATAAAGTACACAGTGCACATCAAGGTAAGTTTGTACACTGGCATTCATACAACAAACCTGTCAGCAATGGTAATTTGTCTTTCCCACTGCCACTCCATCTGCTCATTAAACCTTCTCTTGTACTCAGGGCATCCATGCACGTCCACGACGTGCGCGGTGTACCCAATTGCTCTTTCACACATCCACGCTGAGTATCACCCACTTTCTCTGTAGTGTACACTGCGTACTCTATCAATTCTGCACCTCATGTGGGCAAGTGAACAAGTATGGATGTGTGAATTTGTGCAAGTGGTAAAGTACATAGTGCACGTCATGGACGTGCCCTGATGTCTGACAGACCTTACATCCACATAATGCGTGGACGTCCACAACGCGCACGGTGTACTCTATCACTTCCACCCATTTGAACTTGAGTTTTTTTTACACCTCCAGGCACATCCACGATGTGTGCGGTGTACACCATCACTCCCACTCATCTAAATATCCATGCCAGTGTACCACCTTACTTGATGTGCTGCACAAGTCATATAGTACGCAGTGCACGTCGTAGACGTCCCTTGATGTGGGCAAGTCATAAAGTACACACAAAAGTGACCAAATATAAAGTGACGAGGTACACAGCTCACGTCGTGGATGTGCACAGATGTATGAAACACAATGAAGACCAAAAAAACCATTACATTGACAAGATTGGCCAGAGAGGGAATTGAACCCCCGCCTATTTGGTGTTCGATGATCTTCGTATTGTTTATAAGAAAACCACCGAATATTCTACCAAATCGTCCTTTGCCACTAGACTATCTGACCATGACTACTAGCAATGTTAAACAAAACCTTATGAGCATGAAATAATCTAATAATCAATCCCACCTGAGCCCACAACAAACTTGGCAGCAACGGTAAATTGTCTTTCCCACTGCCACTCAACCATTAAACCTTCTCTTGTGCTCAATCCATGCACGCCCATGACATGCGCCGTGTACCCCAAGTGCTCCCGCTCATCTTCTGTTGTCTTTCACAGATCCAGGCACGTCCACGACGTGGCCTGTGTTCTCTATTACTGGAACTGTATTTTTTTTCACACATCCTTGTACGTCTGTGACGTGTGCTGTGTATTCCGACCCCACAGAAAACCAATAGATGCTCGACATGATATGAGACAAGTAGGCCAATCCAATCATAATTCATGGCATTATGAGATCGTGAAGAGACCCAGTCCAATGGTCTGAGAGGAGAGTGATCGTGTGCACAGTGCACGTCGTAGACGTGTACAGATGCTCTGATGATAAATTCACTGACCATTAGAGTAAAGGTTCTCTCATGAATTCATGCATGTCCACGATGTCCAATGATCACTGGTCTCTTCACAATCTCATGATACAACTAATATAACTGATATAATTAAACTACCATCAATCACAATCAGATTGGCCCTACTCTGTGCCCTGGTGATATGGCCTATCGCGCCGAATGGGTACTTAACCCCCCGGCCTGTGAATGGTACCGAAAGGTGGTCAGAACCAGTGGATGTCTTGGGCCAAAGGGCTAAAGATTCTATTATTCAGATCAGCTGCAATAGAATATTCTTTGTACTGTGTGTTTTTCAGATACTTAGTCTACACAGCGCACGTCGGGGACGTGCATGGATGTGTGAAAAACCTGGAAGTGAATTGGTATCATCATGTGCGGTGTGAATGTTCTCACTCCTGTCCATTTGTGCATGGATCTTTTATTGCCTTGAATGCATCCATACACGTCCACGACGTGCCCTGTGTACACATTCATGCACCCCCAAAATAGAAACATCTTTCAATACCTACGTCGCATGCGGTAGAGTGCACAGGGCACGTCATGGATATGCAAGGATGCTTTAAAGCTAAATTCACTGATGACAGGGGAGTGATAGTGTACACAGTGCATGTCGTGGACGTGCATGGATGTGGGAGTGATACTGTATGCAGTGCACATGGTCGGGGTGTGTACACAGCACATGCTTGCGTATGCTAATAAATGCTTTTTTAGCATAGGTTGTAGTCATGGCCAGATAGTCTAGTGGCAAATGACGATTTGGCAAAATACAAAGTAAATCTGCGACAGAACTGCAGGTGTATTGGGTACCAAGTAGGCGGGGGTTTGATTCCCTCTCTGGCCATGTTGTTTACCTTGATTGATTTTTTGGCTAGACGCTATAATGTCCATTGCTTTTCTTGTGTAGGTCATCACTCCTACTCATCTGTACATGGCTTGTTTATTGCCTTGCACCAAATCAGTTTATCTTGAAGGAGTGTACACAGCACACGTCGTGGACGTGCATATATGCATTGGATATGGATTGACTGATCTGTCAACTCATACACCTTATGCACACAGCACACGTCGCAGACGTGCATGGGACAATTGGACTATAGATCGACTGACTTGTCCAAGTTGATAGGGCTTGCGTACAGTGCCCCATCAGAGGGGGCAGTGATGGTGCGCACTGCGCACGTCGTAGACGTGCATGGATGCATATTAGACTATAGATCCATTATTCTGTCCACAGCGCGTACACGTACATGTGGTAAAGGGCACAGCGCACGTCGTGGACGTACACTCCATGCACGTCGTGGACGTACACTCCATGCACGTCGTGGACGTACACTCCATGCACGTCGTGGACGTACACTCCATGCACGTCGTGGACGTACACTCCATGCACGTCGTGGACGTACACTCCATGCACGTCGTGGACGTACACTCCATGCACGTCGTGGACGTACATTCCATGCACGTCTATGGCGTGCCGTAGACGTGCATGGATGCATATTAGACTATAGATCCATTATTCTGTCCACAGCGCGTATACGTACATGTGGTAAAGGGCACAGCGCACGTCGTGGACGTACACTCCATGCACGTCGTGGACGTACACTCCATGCACGTCGTGGACGTACACTCCATGCACGTCGTGGACGTACACTCCATGCACGTCGTGGACGTACATTCCATGCACGTCGTGGACGTACATTCCATGCACGTCGTGGACGTACATTCCATGCACATCGTGGACGTACATTCCATGCACATCGTGGACGTACATTCCATGCACGTCGTGGACGTACATTCCATGCACGTCTATGGCGTGCCGTAGACGTGCATGGATGCATATTAGACTATAGATCCATTATTCTGTCCACAGCGCGTACACGTACATGTGGTAAAGGGCACAGCGCACGTCGTGGACGTACACTCCATGCACGTCGTGGACGTACACTCCATGCACGTCGTACACATGCGTGGATGTACATTCCATGCACGTCTATGGCGTGCCCTGGGTCCACTAGTACTAAAGATCTGAATATTAGAATCTTTCATCACAGTTAATCACAGTCCAATGCATCCAGACACGTCTACGACGTGCACGGGGTGCACAATCACTCCCGCCTCATCTGCAATGTCCACGATGTGTCCAAGTCTTTGTTCACACATCCATGCACTTCCCTGACGTGTCCTGTGTATGCACCCCCACAATGTGCATTGTGTATACAATCATGTCCACGACATGCCATGTGTGACTCTGCCATATGCTATCCTCGATTCAAGCTAGATGTGGTCAAGTGCACAGGGCACATTGTGGATGAGCACCATGTGGTAGTATTATCTGCCCTACCGGTAGCTAGCTTCTTACCTTCATGCTTTATATTTCCGTTCACTATATACTAGCGAACAACACCATTACTCCCGTTATTTATATTCTATCCTCCTCATATTCCGCCCCATTGTACCCTACTAACCTTCCTAGAAACCTCTACTCAGGCGGCACACTCATACGATTCGAGTATTCGACTACCATTCTCCTCACAGTCTCCTCCTGATGCAATCAATCTAATTGATTTGCGATCAATCACGATCGGATCGGCGTTACTTACTACGCTGGTACTACCTCCCACTTGTCTTGCATCGTCTCGAATGGATATCTAGCCCCCCGGCTTGTGGATGGTACGGAAGGACGGTCATGGTCAGTAGATGCGATAGCCCGAAGCCCTAAGAATTTTAATATTCGGATCTTTCGGAATGCATTTTTCTGTGTTTTACCTTTCTTCCGTTGATCTCTCTCTTGCCTTAACCATTATTCCCCTCCCACTCCCGAAGCTTCTCCGCACTGCCTAGGACATTAATATCTGTTGTCGGTGCATTAGGATTTGGTCCATGTCCGCTCTGTCTTCCCCTTGGTATGTAACAATAGCCGAAGGTATTTCTTACTCTATTGGACTGTTTTCTATGTTTAAGTAGCTAGTTACAAGAATTAGTTACTTGTAGTGCTGCTTTAGCCACTAACATTGGTAGTATAGTAGTATAGTTCGTATAGTTATAAGCAGCACAGCGACACTAACATTGTGTGCGGATGCACAGCTAATAGTATAGTAGTAGAATAAGTACTTAGTATCATTAGTTTCTTGAAGTAGTACTGGTAGTACGGGGCCGCTAACTTGTCAGCGGATGCAGCCCAGGCTGTGCCAGTAGTATAGTAGTATAGTTAGTTACTGGTAGTAGTACTGGCTGCAGGCGACGCTAACATTGTTAGCGGATGCACGGCTAATAGTATAGTAGTAGAACAAGTACTTAGTATAATTAGTTACTTGAAGTAGTACTGGTAGTATGGGTCCGCTAACTTGTTAGCATATGCATCCCAGGCTGTGCGAGTAGTATAGTAGTATAGCTAGTATAGTTAGTCGGTTAGTCGGTTAGTCGGTTAGTAGTACTCGTAGGCGACGCTAACATTCTTAGTGGATGCACGTCTAATAGAATAGTAGTAGTAGTTAGGATAATTAGTTACTTAGCAGTACTGGTAGCACCAGGCCACTAACATTGTTATGCACTTCAGGCTGTGAAATTTAGTACACTGAACGTTGGACTGCACCGACCACAGCGTGCACTGTGTACGCTATCACTCCCCTCATCTGTGCACGTCCAAGACGTGTACACTACCACAAACATTCATGCACCTCAGTTCACACTATACGATCCTGGTATCCCGTGATGTTCTATACCAGAATCATCGGGTATTCGTCCACGACGTGCATGGCGTACTATATGACCCCACTCATCTGTGCATTAAACCTTGTATTGTCCTTAGGGCATCCATGCATGTGCACGACGAGCACGGTGTACCAGATCGCTCCCACTGTTTATCATCCGCTGTCTTTCACACATCCAGGCACTTCCACGACGTGCCCTGTGCACTTTGCCACATGTATGTGTACTGAACGTTATATGCACTTACAAGTGGTCAAGTGCCCAGGACACGTCGTGGACGAGCACGGATGCTTTGAACATGGATGGTGGAAGTAATAGTGTACACAGCGCACGTCGTAGACGTGCATGCATGCATTTGACTATAGATCTACTGATCTGGGATGCAATCAATCTGATCGAATTGCCATCAATCACAATCAGATCGGCATCGCTCTGTGCCCTGGTGCTATGGCCTACTTGTCTTGTATCCCGTCGAATGGGTACTTAATCCCCCGGCTGTGAATGGTACTGATGGATGTTCAGCACCAGTGGATGCATTCGTTCAAAGCTCTAAGGATTCTAATAGTCGGATCTGTCGCAATAAAATATTCTTTGTACTGAGATAGCGTCGGCGGCGTGCATGATACTTAATGATCCATCGTTTCCTTCAAGTGTGTTAATATCGTATATACAGTTCATCGAATGTTAAGCTATCTAATCCTCCTCCCAGCTAGGTTCTTCACGACATAAGATATGAGGAGCTGGCCCTGAAGTTCGTGGAGGAAGCCTCGTAAACCCCTTGGGCTTCTGGCTCGTGTTCCACATCCGATCCGATCCAGCAAAAGGCAACCACTTAAGTGGCAAAACCTTTTTACGAAATCGCTCCTCGAATTTTTTCCACCGTTTCCTCGTCAGCAGTAGCACATAGAGCCTTCCAATCCGGTAGTATTGGGACGTAGGGTAATTCTGCGCTTTGGGGGAAGTCTCGTGTCCCTTTGGAGGAAAAAGATGTCGAAATACTTGCTCTCGAGATGCCGGAGTTCCCACCTTCCAAAAAACTTCATTCCACATATCAGAAAGCTTCAGGTTGTTATACAAGTCTTCCGTCACCCTCACTCGCTCCTCTTCGTTAAGCTTCATATATGATGGTCCACCACCCTGTTTCGTAGTAGAACTCTTCAACGCCATGTCCACGAGGAACTGCCTGTAGATGCGATACACCTTGAAGTCAATATCTGGAGAGGTATTCGTCTGCTCGTCGTCCACCTCCATATCGGATCCATCATCCACTAGAGGTAAAGGCAGGCTGAGACCTTTCGATCCCAAGTTGAATAAATTGACATCTCGTGGTCGGTGTCACTCTCCACAAAGGTCCGCGTTCGGTGAGTTTTGTTTGTTACGACTCGGCGCACGGTTGGACTCCACGCGGAATGATCCCAACTGGATGAAACCGATATTCAATATCACCCACAGACCCTTTGAAAAGGTATTCGAATGATTTCGGGGGAGTGTACGCGGTGTATCGTGTCCCTCGCCATTCGCGGAACCTCGAAATTCAATATGATCCGGCGAGGAAATATGGCGCCATACGGATTATACGGAACATCTAACAACAAGTCTTCATCACCGTCACTGTCTTGTCTCCCGTCGCCTGGTATCCTCCTTTAAACAAAAGAGTCTCGGGATCAGGAATCCACAGCATCAGTCAAAGGCAGCACAGCTCTCATGAGGTCTCGTGCGGCGGATCCATCATCAGGTCGAGCATGAAGAGAATTAACGAGCCACACGGAGGCAGCGGTCAAAAGAAGTGCATCAGATGTTACCCGAAACTCTGGAGAGCCCATGGCTTGCTTCATGAGGAGCCTGCTTATTGCTTCTAACCGGTGTGCTCGGAAGTTCCTGTAAAACTGTTGAACAACATATTCGTAAATCTTCAAGTCGATAAAACTTACCACCATACTGTCCGTCGAAACCCCAGCATACATTCTTGAATAGCACCAGAGTCAAACCTTGTCAGCACTGTACATGCGTGGCGAAACGGTACTCGAACCTCGATGCGTGCATTCGATGTATTCATGTCCATCGCTTCCACAAAAAGCTTTTGGAGTCCAGTGATAAAGGGGGCCGGCTGCTTCACTCCCATCGCTTCAGAAATCG